AAGGCTGAGTCAACCCTGAGCCGGTGAGATTTGAACCGATCAACTGCAGGTAGCAGTCAGCTGAAGTAGCCTGCAGTGCTGCATTTAACCACTGCGCCACCTCGGCTCTATATGTTGTAATACTTGCATGCCTTAGAGAAAAAGCAAGATATAAAGCAATAGTGTATAAAAAAGGCAAGTAAGGAGCAGGCTAAGGACAGGAATTAACAGAATTGCTATGGATAAGACGAACAGTGACATGAGGTGACAGCAGGATTTCCTTTCCTGGGAAAAGAAGGTTATTCTCATATGATGGAAAAGAAGCATTTTCCACTATTGGGGAATGTCTACTACTGAGTTATCTCTTCTGGTTTACTGACACTGCTTTAATCTTCCACCTCCTCTCTCTGTTTCCCTCTACATCCCACTCAATATGGCGAATGACCTCTAAAGGGAGGTGGGAAGTCCCTGAGACGTTCAGACTGAAGTCAGAGATAGTAACTGCTGCAAAGGGGGGACTTGGATTGCCGCCTTTTGCTTTGCATTCATGAGAACGGGAATTACTCAAGGTGTAGCTTTACCTGGCTTTTCATTGGCTCCTCCTCTTTGCAGAGTTCAGCATTCTCCAGCCACACACAGGACCAGCGCGTGGCCAACATGTTTGAGCTCTCTACAGCTTTTCGCCAACAGCACTTCCTGGCAGGCTTGGTGTTGATGGAGCTGGCACTCATCCTGGAACCTGATGCGGAGGGGTAGGTATGATCCAGTGGGGGAAACAGAAGCGGAATGGTGCATTTGTCCTCCTCCATTCCCTGACCACAATGGCCAGAAATGGGATTTATTATCTTCCACTCCTTCAAACTAGGAATTAGTGTAAAACGATGTGTCTTAACTTTGTTTATGGAGGTTCTCCGTCCTCCAGGTGGTCCCAAAGGTGCTTTTTCAAGAGGCAACTTGACATTCTGTTTTTTCTTTGAAGACATTTGAAGACATCCAAGAAGCTTCTCCAGCTTCAGTGTTTGAACTTCGTTAATTTTGATGTGTGTGGACTACAATTACCAGCATGCTAATTAGGAAATTCTGTGGGTTGAAATTTCATGCATCTTAAAATTGCCAAGGTTGAGAAACCCCCTCCTCTGAAACCATCAAGGCAGATAACAGAAATATCCCTGATGCCCTGCCTCCCTGGATTCTTCATTTTGCCCTTCCTCTGAAGTGTAACCCAGGGCCACTAAAAGACTATCCCTCTTTGGCCAAGGAGAGAATTTGCACTGAAATGAGCTGAAGAAGATTCTCGGATGAGAAGTGAAAAACCAGAAAGTCCAGTTGTCTTGAAAAAGCACCTTTGGGACAGTGAAGTGTGTGTGTTTTATCTCTTCCTGCAAACGTCAAAGTCCCGTCTGAGGCATCACTGAATAAAACAAATCGCAGAAAAGAGACATTGAAATAGAAAACAAGCTTTTGTCTCCTTTTACCTTCTGCTCACAGCTTAGGACAGATTTCCTGCCAGAGAGGCTGCTTATGCTCTGAGATTAGGGCTGGCTGGCTCAGCCTGTCCAGACTACAAACTAGAACCTTCAAAGGGATTTCTGGAGGGGATGAGCTCTATTCTCCAGACCAGAAACTGCAGCTTACTTGAATTGAGCTTACATTTAATTTAATTTAATTTATTAGATTTATAGGCCGCCCAATCCCGTATTTAGCCAATAACTTGTTATGACATTAGTGAAGTAATGCTGAAAGAGCCATTCCACGTATATGTGCAGGAGGCCATTCCCACTAAAATCTTCTGAATTGTGTGTGACCCCAGCCATGCGGTTTTTGGGGCAGGCCCCGTTGAGATCCGGACCCTTACTATCCTTCCGGCCTTCCGCAAAGCAACTAAGACCTGGCTGTTCTGGCAGGCCTGGGGCTGTTGAATTATCCAGCCCCATCCGATGTTATGACTGTTGCTGAATTTTTAATTGTTGTTCTTTTATTTTTTATATCCCCCCTTTCCCTTCTTATTTGT